TTAGAACAGCTTTCAGAGCCACTCTAACTAAAGCGCTGTCTCTCCATCCCAGAGCACCTGTAAAGAAGCCCATTTTCTTTGGACATTGGTATAAAGCCACGGTGGCCAAACCGTGGCTTGTGAAGCCAGCACAGTACTCATGGCTCTCTGGAAATGGCCTGAAGCCCTGTCCACTTCTCCCTGACGTGGCTCTTGGGGACAGCACAGCTTGGCACCTCCCACTGCTCTGGCTTTCCCTGCGGGGAACATGCCCTGGGCCTACCTCTTCCCTCCTTCACTCCCTCTGGTACTGCCGGCTCAGGCACTGGGCTGCTGGGGCAGAGGCTGCAGTTGCACTGCTTACCCTGCAGGGAAAGCTGGAATGCTTTGGCAGTGCAGGGCGGAGGAGTCACCTCCTCTCTGGGTCACTCAGCAGCCTTCCCCCACCACTCTCCAGCTTTTGAACTTTGGTGGAGGATCGGATGTGGCTCCCAGGGTGAGTAACTGGCTACCCCTGGCATAAAGCAATAGTGTTCGTCCTTTTTTGGCTCAGTGGGGTCAGTCTGTGGGCTAGATTCAGTCTGTGATCCCAGTGCAATGCACCATATCACGCTCATGGCCTTGGCCCCGGCCTCATGCATTGGATTGGACCTAGGCCCTGATCCCAGCCTCATATGTGCGGGATCAGGACTACCACTGCAGCCCTGACCCCAGCCAAAGCTGTACCTCCAACTCTGAATAAATTGGATCAGGCCTGCTGCCCTGGCTTTGACCTTGGTCTCCTGCACGTGCCAGATCAGGTCCGCCGCTCCACCTCAGCCCCTACACAACAGTTTGGGCTTACAGTCCTTGCCCCATGCTCACTGGATCTGGACTCTTGCCATGGTCCCACACAGGCTGGCCATATCTGGCGCACAGGTCCATGTAATCTGGCCCACAAAGCTTGGAAATGTAGTGGTAGAGGATGGTAAAAGTGTTAATTGTGATCATTTCTCCATTTCCAAATTTCTGGACCCTTGCAGAGTCCTGTGGGCCACATCACATGACTCTGCAGACTGCATCTGGCCCATGGTTGAGCACTCCTGGCATACAGTGTGAAACAATAACCTTCTTTAGTGTAGGAGGCCTGCCTCTGAGCTAAAAAAGATCTACTGGCATTTTTAACATACCAAATAAATTAATCGGTATGTTAGGGAATAATAAGATTAACTAATATTTGATGCCGTAGATAAATTTTAAAATAGCAGTTGCAGTATTTACACACTCTAAGTTGATCCTGAAGCAGTATCTTTGTATATGAAGTAAACCAGTTGTTTTTCCCCGCATCTTATCTAATGTTATACTTAGGAATATGTCAAGGCATGATTAGAATTGTCTCTAAATATTTTTTCATATTAGGCCAAGACAAATGTTCTATATTAAGAAATTTTGAAAGTATTTAACTGTAATAAGCTGTTTGTTTAATTATTTTTAAAGAAGTTTGTTGCAAAACTTTGGCCTTTGGAAAAAGTGTACTTGGTTGAACAGATATCACTGGGAATTTATTTTTATAGAATATTCATATAGTACAAATTGAGAATGTGTACAAGTGTTATATTTCTATTAGTAGAATCATAGTTCCCTTGGTAGAAATCCTAGGTATACAAAAGTGCATGCAGTTTAAGAAATGGTGACTCCAGTAAAAAAATAAACTGACTTCAATGAGGTAAAAGTAGTCCTTGGTAGAGTTTCAGCCAAGGGAGTGAACCCATTTATCTTACTGATAGGAGCTGCAGTGCTAGCATCCTGCATCCCAGCATGCCCTGCTCCCACCACCTCCCTCCTACCACCTTCCCAATGGCTCCAGGGAAATGGTATGAGACTTTTGCTGTACTCTATTGCAGCAGCCCAACACAGACCACTGCTCTGACAGCTTTGGATCCAGGAAAGCCTAGCCCCTCTCCATAGCCCCATGGATGCGCAGCTATGTGCCCTGCCACCCTCAGGAAGTGGGGAAGCTGGCCCACCAGCATCACACCTGGCAACACCCTTGTAACATCAAACTTGACCCACCAGTCCCCGACCCTGACCTTCCAGCACTCGACCTGGACTTGGCAACACTGGACTTGACCTTCCAACACCTGACCCAGAGGTGTAACTAGTGATTTCTCTACCCTTGGCAAGGATTGGAGGGAGGTAGGGGGTGATTTGCTAAGCACCTGGGAGTAGTGGTGGAAGGAGGATGCAAGGAGGAGCAGGGTTTTACTTCAGAGCAGCTGCTGTTGCTGCTATCAGGGTTGGCTCCCTGAACGCTGCCTCATTGGGGCAGGGGGTGGGGCCAGTGCCAGCTCCCTGCATAGTACTTTGTTGGGGCCAGGGCTGGTGTTGGCTTCAACTACCATGCCTGGCTCTGGCTGCTGGGGTGAGGGCTGATGCCCCCTTCAAATTGATGTCCAGGATTGGTGCCCTCCTTGCCCTGCCCTAGTTATACTACTGCTCCAACCCTGCAACATCTGACTTGCCAGCACACAACCCGGCAACATGCAAACTCTCAACCCACTAACACCTGATCTACCAGCACCTGAGTCCCAACCCATCAGCTCTAGAGCCACCAACACCTGACCCTGACCTGGCAGTACCTGATCTGCCAGCAGCTGATTTGAGCTAGCAACATCTGACCCTAATTAGACTCACTCGACCTGTGCTGGACCTGAGCATTTTGGCTGCTGCTAGAAGCATAGGGATGCACTGCAGGCTGCTGGAGGGGAAACTGATAGACCTGAAAAGACAGCAGACATGGGTGTGCTGTGCCAAAACCTGACAGGTGGGAGGGTGTGTTGTGACCAGGAGTTCCTGGGCTGGGGGCAGGGGGTATGGTCCCCTGGGGCAGCCAGCCAGTCAGCCCTGATCTGTGCCATTGGCTGCTGTCAGTTGTCTCTGGTAGCCAGGGGAGCCTGTAAAACATGCTGGGATGCATACACTGGGGCTCCGATGGGTGTTAGCAGCCCTAGCTGTATGCAAAGCATCCACCTACTTCCCGTAATGTTTGTACAGTGTTCTCCCAGTAGGTTTTTCTACCTGGAGAATAAAAGTGGGAGAATTTTCTCAGACTTTTTGAACACTTGTAGGTACCCCGAGTCTCAATGTCTATTTTGGTGTACAGAGTCAATGCATATAATGAAACTGAATTCTTGGTAACTCACCAGAATAACCCACATCTTGTAAGGCTATTTGAATTGCTGAATTAACAAAATAGTGAGATGGGAGCCATAAAACAATGATAATTTACTAGTCAAAAAGAAGAAAGTCATCTCACTAGGTTAACCACATTTGAAAATTATCTTATGTATCACATTAAAATCACAGTATTTACTGATTAATAATAGAGAAGTTACAAAGCAACTGAGAAAAATAATTATTCCATTTTGCATGTGGCATATGCTTTAGCTCAAGTACATGCATGTTCATGTAGAAGTACTGTGCGTTTTCTATTTTTGATTTTTTTTTTTTTTTGTATCAGCACCCTAAATTTTATATGTTTCTTATAGGCTTCAAAATGTTATCTTTCAGGTTTGTCTTTCACATTTTTGCATGTGTTTATTCCCCTATCGGGGAATAAGTAAAATCAGAAGAACAATGTGGAAATAGTAGTGTTTAAAATATAAATCCAGTTCTCAGCGGACAATGCATTCAGATTTCTTGTGTGATTAGGAGAGATTATCTAGCTAAATTAAAAGTACAGTAACAGTTTCTGTACTAAAGTGCAGAAAATTTATATTGATTTGTGCTATTAAAATGTATCATTAAGAGGGAGAGTGAGGAGACTAGGGAGGGACAAGGAGCTGTTCCTGGTGTCAAATAATACAAGAGGGAATTAAACACTTGTATATACAGACATTTGCTTTTGTGCTGCTTAGGTTCAGACAAAAAGAATAACGATATAATCCTCTTATTAACTATTCTTTGCATTCAAACATCTAAAATAGATGCTTGATTTTGGAATTGCTCATAGCTGCAGGAGAATTTTACTTTTTTGTGCAGGTGGCAGAACTGAGCAACAAAAGGACTTGGCAAGATCACTGTTTACTAAGCTACCTATCTACATCTTTAAATATGAATGTTGTTTATTTGTATGTGCCTTAGGTTATAAGGACTTCGTGGTCTAACTGGGAAAAGTAAAGTTTATATGGGGGACCAGACACTGCTTCTCGCTGAGCCAGCAAAGCATACACTTCACAAGGAGTTCTGAAATTTTGTTGGGTGCTGCAGAGTGGTGTCAGTTCAGGCTTTTCTCCAGACTTCTTGGCTACCTCCTCACTCTTGAAACCACTGTTATCCCTTTTCAGGCATTATTAGTGCTATCCTCCAAAACTAGGGGAAATGGGGTTTGGGGGTTTTTTTGGGGG